CCCTGAGCCGAAACCCTAAACCCCAAACCCTGGACCCTAAACCCTGAGCCGAAACCCTAAACCCCAAACCCTGGACCCTAAACCCTGAGCCGAAACCCTAAACCCTAAACCCTGGACCCTAAACCCTGAACCGAAACCCTAAACCCTAAACCCTAGACCCTAAACCCTAAAAGGGCAAAAGGGTAGCTCTGGGGAACCTAAAGCGTTCCGCGCTCATGGAGATACCGCAGGGTTGGAACCGGTACTAATATGGGGGTTTCCGAAAATAGGGGGTACCTTATTTGGGGGTCCTTATAATAAGGATCCTACTATTGGGGGTGCTATATTAGGGTCCCCTATTTTCGGAAACCCCCATATCGGTTCCTTAACATACTTACCTATACTGTCTTGAGGCTTCCTTATTCTGATTATACGGCTGATGGACAAAATCCTGCATGACCTTACATACCTAAACTATGGCAATTATGGTGCTATACTATACTTAGGTCATGCAGAATTTTGTCCATCAGCCGTAGTATAGTATAACCCAAAAACCCTATTCTAATTGTTCAGGCCACTCTAGTAGTTGCATTCCCTTGCAGTCCTGTATCATATGGGTAGTTCTCAAATTAGGGGCCCCTGTTAGGGTCCTTTTCATAAAGGTGCTTTAGGGGCCCAAAAAAGGAACCCCAATCTAAAGAACTGCCCACATGCCAAAACCCTATTCCAATCACTAAGACCTGCAACCCTCAAACCCCTACAAAACCCTTATATGGAGCCCGAAAAGAAACGCTCCAAAGAACCCCCAAACGAACCCTATTCAAACGATTACGGCTCCTATATGAGTGCTCGTCCATGTACAAAAACGGTTTAGGGTTTAGGGCGCAGGATACACCCTGCTGGCGCTACTGCCTTTGAGGATAATATCGTGGCTATGCCGTGCACGCGAGAGTGGCGGAGGGCCCTGCGGTGTTTTGCAATTATCTAGAGCTTTGCGCTTCAGGCTTTAATGCTTGCTGGCTCAGGGTTTAAACCCTAAAACCTAAACCCTACACCCTAAACCCTAAGCCCGAAACCTTACGGTGTAGGCTTGAGGCTTTCTTCCGAAGCTTGGGGCGGTGCCAGAAACCTATATTAATGATTGATGATACAAATCCTGCATTACCCATGTAGTAAGGAATATACCGTACTTCCCATAGTTCAGGGCCCTTCAGGTAATGCAGGATTTAAATCAGCACCAGTACTACAGGATCCTTTAAACCTTAGGGTTTAGGGTTGCTTCTACGCATTCCCTTCAGGGGTTCGCTGAATGTTTCCTTTAAGGGCTCTTGTAGGACTTAATCTGATGTAGGGGCCTGAATATAATTAGAATAGGGTTTCTGGGCTCCTTTATAGTGTCATAATAATAAGGAGCCCCAAGGAATACTGTTGGTAATTATTAGGGCCTTGTTGAGTAGAGCAGGATTCCTTAATGGACTTTACGGTGTCGGACTGCGACGGCCGTGGCCGATTGACGACCCTGAACCCTTTCTCTCACAAATGTGAAATTCCGGACTAGAGTCTACAGCCTACTTGGAGGTTCATGGGTCGTTGTAAGTGGGGCTATAAGTAAGGTAACTATAGTTATAACCCATATTAGGAGATTTATAACCCCACTTATAACTACCTACGAACCTCCAAGTAGAGGAGTGCCGACTTTGCATCTCGCATCATTGATCCACATCTAGATGCTTAGATGCATTTATTCTTCCGTTGCCCTCTTTGCCCGTGACCTGATCTGAAAATGGCTTGCCCAGCCGTGAAAAGGGAGCTCAATAACAATCAAGTTCGACTTGAATGACTCTTCAAGTGTGACGCACCAGGATCTCGTGATCTTGAAACAACATGCTTAGGGGCTGAGTACCCTAACCCCAAAAAAGGTTAACCTTTTCAATTATGGTAGGATTATATAAACCCAAAAAGGTTAGAGGTTACCTACTCAACCACTAAGTAGGAACTACCGAACCCTAAACCCTAAACCCTAAACTCTAAACCCTACCTGTAGATTCGGAAGGCCTTTTCTGAATGGATGGCGACCAGGCGGCTGCTTCAAGGACAGCACTTCTGATGCTCAAGGTTTTGGGTTTAGGGTCTAGGGGTTAAGGGTTTGGGGTTTAGGGTTTATAGGGTTTAGGGGTTTAGGAAGTGCTTGAGAACGAATCTGAAGCTTCCGCTCTCCGTGCTGCTTCCAAAGATTCTTCAGAGTCGTCGGAAGACGAGTCAGAGTCACCATCTGGAATCGTGAGCAAGCGAAGCGACGTGCAGCAGCTGCGAGAACGGTAGACAGGCTTCTCCACGGTGCTCGCTGCGTGCACCCTACAGCGCCGCACAATTCGGCCGACTTGTCGAGAGCGCTCGTTCCCATCCACCCACTGTGCAAACAAGCCCATCTCTTCGCTGAAGACGATCTTCTGGATTTTCTCGTTAAAAACGTCCACATCTGAGATCTTAGAAATGATCATCTCCTTGTCGGCTTGAGATGTCGATGTGCATTGCCTAACATCTAACAACGAAAGCCTGTCGTAGTTCTGATCTACAGCAGATTGCGACGGCACCTGTATTCGAGGTTCCATACCCAGCACGCTCGCCTCGAATATCTCTGCAACACACCATGCCCGGAAGAGCACATCGAAGGCGTCATCGACGACGATGAGCTGTGCGAAACCCACCACCTCCCGCGCTAGGTGTGTCATCATGTCATCGAACTTGTTGAGTTCACACCTTGCGTCTCTGTGGCTGAACACCTTCTCCACTTGACAACTGCAAAGCTGGAATGCATGACCAGTAACCTCTCTTCTTCAACAACCAGGCCCAAAAAAGTTCAAACTTTTTAGGATAGACCAAAGATATAAGGCCAAAAAGTTTAAAGTTCTCCTATTGGCGAACTAAGGTAACTGAGTCATACCGCCTCCTATCCCAAGCGCTCCACTCAGACGTCCCCTGGGGCGGTTCAGACCCGAAGCTGGCACAGATATTGGCCTAAGTTGTCCTTTAAGCCCTTTGAAAATTATTTACTTTTATGGTTCTCTACAAAATAGTAAGGGAAATCGAAAAAGATCCCAAAAGACAACCCAGTGGCATGCTGGTTCACAGAAAACGCGCACACCCAGTAGGTCGTCTCCAGCTTCCCGAGCAACTTCGCCCGGACCTTTTCAACGCCCACTTTCGTAGCCTGGGTTGGCCTCTAAACCCTCTGAAAACTATTTATATAAAGGGCCCCTTATAAACCCAAATAAGGAAAATAAAACATGTCCCCCAAAACCAACCTAGTAGCGATCTTCTCCGCAACCTTCTCATAAGCAGCAAGCCCCAAAGCATCCGCCAAAATTGCCGCGACGAGGCTTCCAAAGCCGTTGCTCCAGTTGTGCGTGACCATGATTTGCGCGGTTGTCTCTGTGCTGGACCATCGTGCTGCCAGGGCAAATCCATCCTGTCCATCTCGGGATTCCGGGATGATCGCACGTCGGACCACATCGTGTGTCAAGGAGCGTCGGGGATCAAAGCCTGGCATCACCTGACCATCGAGAAGTCCTTCCCAGAAGTGCAGAAGTGCGCTCAAGCGAAAGCCCCGGCTTGCTAGCTGCTTCACCACCTGGTCGTAGACTTCTTGTTCGGTCGGGGCGAGCAGACTTGACATAGAGATAAGTCCGCGGGTGAGGGGGTGCTCCAGCTCCAGCTCACCATCCGGAGGGCGCCCCTGCCAGAGAATCCCGGACAGAAGGCCCAGTCCAAGTGAATTCACGACCCAGTCAATATGAATAATCAGAAGAACAACAAAGGTTCTGTGTTGTATCAGCAGATACTTTTCCTCCGTCTCGGGACCAAATTCCGCACGAAGGCACATAGCCGAGATCACACCATAGCAACACATCGTCAATCCAAGCGTTGCGCAAATCAGCGTTTCCTCAGCTGTTCAGTAGCCAACTGGGAAATAGTATATACTTTTTTGGGTTGGTTATACTATTTTAGGAACCAATACCCCCCCCCCCCCC